GGATCAAACACTTCGACGGTTTGTAAGAAGGAAGCCCCGTCGTATCCGCCACATGCGTATAATTTACCTCCCAACATTGCTACTCCAAGTCGACACCTAAAAGTTGAAAAAAAATCTAATGATAAATACATTTTTTATTTTCAAGTTTTTATTAATTGACTATTAATCTAATGTTTTTGGCGTTGTAAAAGCCTTAGTAACGTAAGGCGAAACGTTGGTTGTGATTAAATAATTGAAAAATAAACCTTCACGCCTATTTGTCTTTTAATTTCTAATTTACAAGATTGTTAAGTAACTTATTAACGAAAGTTGAACGATATTTCCTGCTTATAATTGTAAAAATAAATTTAATTGCCTTTTAGTTAACATGGGGGTAGCTTCAGTCCATGTGTTCGTGTTGGGGTCGTATCGCTCCACTGAATCGAATATAGAGAGGCCATCGTGACCCCCCAGGGCATATATGTAACCTATAATAAAAAGAATTTTATCAAAAGATAATTTTACTATTTAGTTATAATTATTGTATTATAACAAATATTCCTAAATTGAAATATTACCTTGGCAGGCAATTACTGCTCCCGCACTCCTCGACTTGTTCATGGGAGCTAGGGTACACCATGTGTTTATCTGGGGGTGGTACCGTTCTACTGAATTCAAAGACGATACACCGTCGTAACCCCCGCACACATAGATCCAGTCTCCCAGCGCTGTTGCCCCAAGAGCACTTAAAACGCACCAAAGATAAACCCTTTACAATGTCATTTTTACTTTCAAATACAATATAACAATCCCTGACGCATTTAAAATGTTTACTCAAATATTGTAAATGAAGCTTCCCTTGATTTTTCTTTATTTTTTTTTTTGTTAATTGAATTACCTTCGTTTACATTGCATGGGAGCAACAGTAGACCACTCCTTCTTCATGCAGTCGTAAACTTCTACGCTAGCCAGTCGATCTTTACCATTGTAACCCCCAAAAGCGTATAGCATACCCCTTAAAACAGCCACTCCTAAACGCGAACGCATCGTAGACATGGCGGGCGCCGATTGCCACGCGTTTAGTTTCGGATCATAATACTCTACAGTGCTTAAAGAATCCCCTGCAATAATAAATCAGGATCTAAGCAAAAATTAATGCGTCATTCTTTTAGTATCATCGTTCTTTTATTGAATTTTTTACTTTTAAAAACGAAATTAAATATTTTAATATATTCTTCTATTTCTATTTAACGAAAAATGATAAATATTTTGTAAATGTGGAATCTATCCGTTACCATGTTTATTTAATCCTCCAACCACGTAAATATGGCCACGTACTTCACAAGCTCGCGGTTTAGTCCTGAAACTTTGTAAGAGTGGCCTGCGCTCTGGTATAAGATGAAAAACTCTGGCTTCATCCAAAAGATCTCTATTTGAAAAATAAAAACAATGTAGCGCTGTCTATACACACCACTGCTATAGGCAGTGTGGTAAATTTACCCTAGGATGAATCAAGTTTCATAATAAAGGCTGTTAATGGGTGTAATTATTACATACAGCAAAAATGTGTATTTTAACCCAGGATAAATTCACCTTACTTACCCTGGAAATGGTAATAAAAAAATTCTTACTTTACCTGCACTGATGAGATGTCCTTATCAGTTCTTCTGTGGCAACACGATCTGTTAAATAAAGAGGTGACAAGAGTGGCAATCGAACCTGTGCTAAAAGAACTGGTAAGTTTGCAGTTCTGTTTTCACTGTGTTTTACCCATCTCATGCAGGCTTCAAAAACTTGTTCTTCACTGTTAAAACAAAATATATTTAACATAAAATTTATAAATAGTTCATATAATTACAAAGAAATAGACTTTTACCTTTCAACTCTTAGTTCATTTCTATTTAGTAAGTTTTTTACATCTTCCATTGGTAAATTTAAATATTCATCTGAAAGAGACACTTCATGAAAACACTGCTCAATGTATTTGTCAGCAGATTCTACTAAATTTGAACAGCCCAATGTATCAGCAAACTGCCTTATTCCAAGAGCATTATGAGGGTGAAGTCTGTAAAATGTAAAATATAAATACTCCTACTTATATTGAGAATTTTTATACCATATTTTTACCTTTGCAAAAGATAGTTGGCACAAGCATCTCTGACTTTAGTGAGGTGCAAATATGAAGCACCCAACATTATACTTTGTACATTGTTTTTGTCTAAAACAATTCTTCCAGAATATGCAAAGTTTATTAATGCTTCAAGGGAACTGGAATCAAGATAGAAAAGTTTTAAAATAAGTACAAAGGGCACTTTTAAAAATCACTCACTTTGCATCAATGCTTTGCATTTTTATCTCATGCTGTCGACTTTCAACCATATCATTGGTAAACATTGCATGAAAGTAAGGAATTGTTGCTGCAAGAACAATTTTGTGGGCACTAAAGGCTTGATCATCAACCTATACAAGAATGTGAATTATTACTTAATTACCTAACTGATTTTGTCATTCCACTTAATATTAGGACATACTTAATTTTAATTATAGTCATATACCTTTAAAACAACATCGCAAAGTTTCCCCTGTCTTCGAATTTCTTCCATTGCAGGGAAGGCAGAAGGAAACAAATCATTTTGTTGAAAAACCATACTTTCATTGCTCATTTCATAAAGATTTCGTGGACATTCTGAAGTTTTAGAATCAGTTAATGCTCGCAAAGGATACATATTATATTACAAAACTGTTTTATTGTATCGTTTCCAAATGTTTATTTATATTTATACAACTGCAATAAATACAAATACAAATATTTGTAGTAAACTGAGGTTATGTTTTAATAATGTCAAAATCCATAGATAGTCAAAATCTGTTGGAAAGTTGGAAAACAAATAATATAACCTAAAAGTTTGGCATTTTTGATATTGTTAATATTTGTTAATTAATTTATAATAAAAAAAAAACAACGCTAATAACTGATGCACTATGAACGTAACGTTGTGAGCATAACACTAACCAACCGTTTACGTGTTGCATGTGAAGTAGTCATATGTACAAATTCAAATTCTACTCTTGTATGAAAATAACGAATGTGTAATTCTATACTTGCGAAAATGGTTCACATGAAGTGTAGATCAAAGGTTTATCCGTTTAGTAACATAAACAGAATAGTTTTTCCCGATAGTTTGGTAGATTGGAGTCAACCTTTTCCTGACTATAGCCCAGAAGAATACAACTCACCTGGCTTAAAAGGAAAACCGTATGCAGATCCTGACTTGGGTAAATACATTAATACATTAACATATTTTTAATTATGAACATTAGTTTATATCAGATGATCCAAATTTTCATCCCAAATGGAACTCATTAGATGGTAACATTAACCGTAAAAGTCATATTGGAGACTATGCTGTACTGAATGGAAGACCCCTTAATCCTGAAGGAAGAACGGGTATAAAAGGACGTGGAGTTTTAGGCCGTTGGGGGCCAAACCATGCAGCTGATCCAATAGTGACACGATGGAAAATGGATAATGGGACTAAAATACTACATACAGTTACCAAGCTGTAAGATTCTAAAGACAACATATGATTTGATTGTTTATTAAAAATTTTAGAGCTATTTTACAATTTTGTGCCATTCAGAGACATGATACACATGAATGGGCAGTACCAGGGGGTATGGTTGATCCTGGAGAACAAGTAAGTATCACCCTTAAAAGAGAATTTATGGAGGAGGCAATGAATAGTCTTCAGAGTTCACCAGGTAAAATAAATAAGTTATATTTATTAGAACACTTTTTCAAGAAAACCTTTTATTTTTAGGTCAATTAGAAAAGAACAAACAAATGGTTGAAAAGTTTTTTAACACAGGGGAAATTGTCTATAAAGGATATGTAGATGACCCAAGAAATACTGATAATGCTTGGATAGAAACAGTAGCTGCAAATTTTCATGATGAAGATGGTACTTCAGTAGGGCAATTTGAATTGAATGCAGGGGATGATGCCAAAAATGTAAAGTGGATGGACATTGATAAGAATTTAAATTTGTATGCAAGTCATTCTCAATTAATTCAGTATGTGGTGAAGTTGAGAGGGGCACATTGGTAAGGAAAAAAGAAGGAAATAATGTTTGTTTTTGAAAAATAAAGTGATATTTTTAAATAATATTCGTTTATTTNTACGTAAGTCCTGTCCAATTATCCTCATAATTAATTTATAATCAATTAAATTATATATTTTACAGCTTGACAGCAACAGGATATTTCTGCTACTTGAGATCAGTACACAGTTTGGTGGCTGACCACTGGCATAATATGCCATTCCGCAAGGAACTTCTTCAACTCAGTCCCCAGTATTTGTCTTTTCTGGTACTCTTGGCCTTTCTGATTTCCATGTTATGGAAGGTAGGAGTTATTTCTTTATAGACAATATTATTTAAATATTTTCTGTTTTTGTGTAAAACTTATTTTAATGTGCTTAGGGGGTAAAACCTATTCAGAACGCCTCTTTATTTGATGTTTCACTTGTGTTAGGCGTTTCATGGTGAATATTAAAAAAAAAAATGTTTTAGGCTTACTGCATTGTAATCGTCTGGCGTTGCTACAAATTCCTGACTCTGCGTAAACAGGCTCTTCGCAACACCGTTCACTACATCTTGCCAGGAGAGGGCGGAGACCGTTTGCCTGAACCCGATTACTCCTCCCTCCTTCCGGACTACGAAGCTGCTTGTGCTAGTGCGATGAAACAACCCCCACCCCCATCTTACGCCGCTGCTATGGCCAGTCAACTGCCCGCCTATCCTGGTGATCCCCACGTAAACGTCATTACCACTGTACAAAATGAGACTTCTGTTGCCTCTAATGACACCGACATCGATAACAATAATGTTGAAGACAACCCAGAGAACGCAGCAACAGGTGGAGCCGCTAATAACCCGGACGTTCAGCCAGCAACTCCTCTCCAAACCATGCCCACTGATGGACGTAAAGAAGTAGAGGACAAGGAGGAGAATAAGGAAGATGGAGCACAGGAGGATGCTGCTGCTGTTGCTACTGTGGTCGGTAATAAAAATTAATTAAAAATATTTTGCTTTTTTTATTTTTTCTGGGGCTTTTTGGACATTAATACAAAGTAGTAAACTGTACTTATATAATGTGGATACCCCTTAGTAGTCATTTCCTATTTTGAATTTTCGTACAGAGGTTGGTTTTTTATTCATCTTATGTTGTCTTCAAGTTTGTGTCTGTATAGTTTTTTTTTTAATTCTAACTAGAATTAACAAAATCTTCTCTTTAGCACAGAGTGTATAGATAGTATAGTGTTAGGTACAATGAATTTTTATAGCTTAAATTTAAGTTATTAATACAGACAAAATTTATTTCTTATCCTTCTAAACGACTTCTAAATTCTAAACACTCTTATCTCTTTATCATGATAATTTGATAATATTTCAAAAAAAAATAGTATAATTTACATTCTGCCGAAAACGAAGTCTATTTCTTTAGCTGCATAAAAGTGTTGTAGTTTTTTTATATTGTTAAAAATACCTTTTTAGGTTAAGTAAAAGTTAGCGTTTGAATTTGAAATATCGTCATGACCTTTCAATTTCAAATTATGGAATTGGTGTAGCAGTTTCACAAAAACTGTAGCTTGGCATCAATTTCTTCGTTTCCTTTATCGTTTCATTTACATTTAATAACATCATACAAACTTTCTAATTGCATTCTTGAATGGTAAGTACTTACCAAATTTTGCTTTTTTACAAGTGGCATTCAGTCATCAATTTCCAGTTGTTATATTATTATTGAACGTCAGTATATTAGCATTTCATGTAAAACAAACAGTAACACATCTCATAATATGAATTCTTACAGGTAAAAGTGATGTAAGCGAAGCTACCCTTACACTTACTGCAAGTGATTTAGAACACTTTGTGCAACTTTCTAAAGAAATACAATTTACAGATTCCGAGATGGATAGTCAAGGTATTTCTATATTTTAATTAAGTGATTATTTTATTTATTTTCATAATATGTTTTATATAAAGTAAATGTGAACATTAAATATATATTTCAGAGGGAGATTCTGAGAAAAACGATTCTTTTCAAGATGATGAGGATGAGAAAGAAATGACTGAACCTGAGATTGGTGCCCAAGAGATAGAAATAGAAACAGAAAGAGTCGATTCTCCAGATGAGATTCATCCTGATTTCAAGAATAGTAAAGTCACAATAGTCCCTCCTTTACGTCCTCTGACAATAGCACCAAAACCTCCAACAACTAAGGTGCCAATTTCTTTAAAACCGGCTGCTGTTTCAGGACAGCAATTATTTCTCGTTCAAGGTATTATTGTTACCAGATTTTCACTAAATTGAGAGATTAATGTTTTTCATTTAAAGGTGGATCTCCTGGTCAAGCGATTAAATTTTTATCACCTCAAGGACAAAGCATTAGTCTGGCAAATTTTGCGAAACCACTTGCCTTTAAACCTGCAGTTAAGACGGTCGCTGTAAGTGGTACACAGGGTACAGGGGTGTCTGTTGTGCAACCAAAACAGATTATGGTGCGAAAAATCTCCAGCAATGTTCAAGGACAAAAAATTGCTTCCGTTGGTCGGTTTAAACTAAAAAGAAACCAAGAATCTAATTAAACAGTAATGGTTACCACTTATTTTTTAGTGGATGGGAAGTCAACAGGTATTCTACTTACTCAGAAAGCAGATGGAGGACAAACTGTGAAACTTGCCACCAACCAAGGTGGTAGTACGATAATTTCTAGCCCCTCCAAGACTATCACGCTGGCACAAGCACAGCAAATGGGGCTTTTAACCGGTGCTAAAATTGTTACTCAACCTGTTACAAAACAGGCTATTTTTATGAATAAAACACAAAATAAACCGGTAAAGATTATGCCTCAGGTAAGGAAACAGTTTGAAATCCATTTGACTTGCAGTTGTTATTAATATACAATTTGAAGGTGAGTAAATTTCCTACCAAAATTTTGCCTGCCCCTCAAATAACCACATCTGGAAAAGGAACACAGCGAATAATTTTGAAACAGGCTGGAGGAAGTGCTACATTACTTCCAAATCAAATCATTCAAGTGGGAGGAGCGCAAGGTCTCGCCACTGGGCAGTTGCATCCTATAAGTATTCCAGGGAAAGGGGTAAGGGACATGTAATTTGTTACTTTTCTAATTAAAACATCACCAATGTAACCATATTTTTTATTATTGTTATTATTGATCATTCATCAGACATATGTTTGAATAATTGATGATACACTTGAAAAGTCTTTTTAGAACCACATTTATTTTTTTTTTCATTTAATTTATTACATTATTGAATTATATTCTTATTATAATATATTGAATTATATCTTTTCCACCAGATCCAATATATAAAATTTGTAACTGCCTCGACAAGTAACGACACATCAACTTCATCTTCCCAAGGAACGATTACAACCGCAAAACTGTCTTCTGCAGCAGGGACAACTGGAAGTAAACTGATTGCAATTGCAACAAGTAATAACACCACTAAAGTTGCAGGAGTTCTAACGGAGGTCAAGGTACCTGTTACTCAACATTTGCTCACGAAGCGAATTTTTGTACTGTTAATATTCATTGTG